ATGTGGTGCCTACATACAGTGAAATATTATCCAGCCTTAAAAAGAATAGAAATTCTGACATGAGCAATAACGTGGATGAGTGTTGAGGACATTGTATAAAGTGAAATGAGCCAGTATAAAGTGAAAAGACAAATATGGTACAATTTCACTTACAGGAGGTATATTAAGTAGTCATATTCATAGAAACAGAAAGTAGAATGGTTGTTGTCAGGGACTAGGGTGGTGGGAAGGAGAATTGTTTAATAGATACAAAGTTTCAGTTTTGCAAGATGAAAATGTTCTGGAAATAGGTTCACAACCATGTAAATATGCTTAACAGTATGGAACTGTACAGTTAAAAACAGTTAATATGGTAAATTTTATGTTTTTCTTAATCACATACAAAAAATTAAAACAAATGCCTAAATAATTTTGCCATAATTTGTCCCCTCACTAGCCTGTTCCTCAAAACAAACTTTTGGAGAATCATCCAGGGTCCAGGTAAGGATTCCTTAAAGACATCTCTGGCTATCCTAGTTCCCCTCAGCTCTTCTGTCCTCCTAAGTCCTGTGGCCTCTTTGTCTTCTGCTCATTTGGCACTTGAACGCATGATGCTTTGCACTGTTGACTACCTTTACATAGTTATTTATAGAAATGTATGGCCTTGTGGCTACCATTGTCATATAATACCTTAATATTTAACATTCACAAACACTGATGCCCACTTTATTTAAACTTCCAACCCTGGGAAGTAAGCATAGAATGGAAGTTTTAGCTTGTGGTTAAGTTTATGTATGTAAATACTAATTGTAGCTGTAGATAAAACGCTAAATATTTTTTCTTTATTTTGTTTATCTTTTTTCTCCATTTCATTGATCTTTTTGCAGCATTCCCTATGCAGAGGTGAGGAAACTGAGATCTAGAAAGAAGCTAAGCTCGCATAGCACAAGGATTAAGTCTCTCTTTTCCAGGTCACTGTCCTAGCTCAGCTTTGCTTATAATAAGCTAGCAGCTAGCAGACATTTGCTTCTCCACTGAATAGCTCCTTTGACTGCTAGCTGCTTCCTAGGTTTTGCAGCTTACAAGCTTTAAGGCAGTAGAGAAGGGGAGGAAAATGTACAGAACTGAAATGAATTCATGTTTGACAAGCCTCCAGGTTTCCAATGTTCTTCTCTTCAAAATGAAATTCCTCAATGTTTTATTATGTGATCACTTTATTAAAAATCTGAAAACACAGATAAAAAATGTTAAAAAATCCATTACTCCCCACACTCAGAGATTGTCATTGTTAATACTATGGGGTATATCCTTCCAGATGTGTCTTACACTCATTTGTCTATCTCTCTTATCTGGGTAACAGTTAATACTACTTTTTGTCATATTTTTTATCATTTAAGAAAATATTGTAGGAGTCCTAGCCAAGATGGAGGTATAGGTAGAAATGCTTCATTTCCTCGAATGACAAAAAGGATAACAACAATTTAAAAACAATAAACAAGCAGAAATACCAGAATATCAAGCTGTATGGACCTCTGACAACTAAGGAGTTAAAGAAACATTCATCCAGACTGGTATGCCAAGACAAAGAAATATGGCCCAAATGAAAGAACATATCAAAACTGCAGAAAAAAGAGCTAAGTGATGAGGAGATAGCCAACCTCTCAGATGCAGAGTTTAAAACACTGGTAAGAAGGATGCTCACAGAATTGATTGAGTATGGCCACAAAATAAAGCAAGAAATGAAGGCTATACAAAGTGAAATAAAGAAAAATATACAGGGAGCCAACAGTGAAGGGGAAGAAACCAGGACTCAAATCAAGGATTTCAATCAAAAGGAAGAAATAAACATCCAACCAGAACAGAAAGAAGAGAGTTCAAAAAAATGAGGAGAGGCTTGGAACCTCTGGGACAACTTTAAGTGCTCCAACATCCAATTCAAAGGGCTTCCAGAAGGAGAAGAGGAAGAGCAAGAAATTAAAAACTTATTTGAACAAATAATGAAGGAAAACTTTCCCAATCTGGTGAAGGAAATAGACTTCCAGGAAGTCTAGGAAGTCCAGAGAGTCCCAAAGAAACTGGATCCAAGGAGGAAAACACCAAGACACATCATAAGTAAATTACCCAAGATTTAAGATAAGGAGAGATATTAAAAGCATTACGAGTAAAGGAGACAGTTACCTACAAAGGAGTTCCCATAAGACTGTCAGCTGATTTCTCCAAAGAAAACTTACAGGCAAGAAGAGGCTGGAAAGAAGTATTTGAAGTCATGAAAGGCAAGGATCTACATCCAAGATTGCTCTATCCAGCAAAACTACCATTTAGAATGGAAAGGCAGATAAAGTGCTTACCACATAAGGTCAAGTTAAAGGAGTTCATCATCACCAAGCTCTTATTATATGAAGTGTTAAAAGGACTTATCTAAGAAAAAGATAAAAAATATAAGTAGTAAAATGACAACAAATTCACAACTATCAACAACCTAACCTAAAAAAAAAGGAAAAAAGCAAACAACTAGATCAGGAACAGAATTACAGAAATGGAGATCACATAGAGGGTTATTAGTGGGGTTGGGGAGGTGGACAATGCGGGGGAAAGGTACAGGGAATATGAAGCATAATTGGTAGGCATAAAATAGACAGGGAGAGGTTAAAATCAGTCCCAGAAATGGAGAAGCCAAAGAACTTTTATGTGTCAGCCATGGATATGAACTAAGGGGATGGGGGAATGCTGGAAGAGGGGTGCAGGGTAGAGCGGGGATAAAGGGGAGAAAAAAATTGGGACAACTGTAATAGCATAATCAATAAAATATACTTAAAAAGAAAAAAGGGATAAAAGAATATATTGTAAACATTTTTCTGTATTAGCAGAGATAATAGAGCAACAATTAAGAAAATACATTTAAGTATAAAAAATTAAAATTAGTAATAATAATTGTTAGTATTTCCAAGCTTATGTTATATAAGTAAGTTCATACAGTATACTAATTTTATTTTATTTTTTAGGACTTCATTTATTTGTTCTTAGAGACAGGGGGACAGAGGGAGAAAGAGAGGGAAAGAAACAGGAATGTGCGGGAGAAACATTGATCGGTTGCCTGTTACCCACCCCTAACTGGGGATCTGGCCTGCAACCCAGGCATATGCCCTGACCAGGAGTCAAACTGGTGACTTTTTGGTTTGTGGGATGAGGACCAACCCACTGAGCCACATCAGTCAGAGATACAATATACTAATTTTAGATACTACTTTTTTACTTAACATAGTATAGACAAGTTTTAAGGTAAAAATTCTTCAAATGTAACCTTATTGTCAAAACTTTGGGAAATATAGAAAAAAGAAAAATAGAAATCTACTGAAATTTTTCTGTGGGATATAATTGGTTGTACGTTTTGTTATATTTTCAGCTTTTTACTTTGCTTATTTTCATGAGTTAATACCTATATTTTTATTTATTTAAATTATATATATATTTTTAAAGATTTTATTTATTTATTTTTAGAGAGGGAAGGGAGGGAGAAAGAGAGAAAGAGAGAGAAATATCAATGTGCGGTTGCTGGGGGCCATGGCCTGCAACCCAGGCATGTGCCCTGACTGGGAATCAAATCTGCGATGCTTTGGTTCACAGCCCGCGCTCAATCCACTGAACTATGCCAGCCAGGGCTAGTTAAATTATATTTTGATTTTGCTACTATAGTTGTCCCAATATCTCCCCCTTTGCCCCCTCCACTCAGCACCCCTGACTCACTCAGGCAATCTCCACACCATTGTTCATGTCCATGGGTCATGCATATAAGTTCTTTGACTACTCCATTTCCTATACTGTACTTTACATCCCCAAGGCTATTCTGTAACTGCCTATTTGTACTTGATTCCCTCACCTCTTCACTCATTCCCTGAGACACCCCTTCCATCTGGCAACCATCAAAAAGATCTCCATATCAACGATTCTGACTTTGGTCTTCTCATTTGCTTAGTTTTTTAGATTCAATTGTTGATAGATATGTATTTATTGAAATCTTTTTTAGATTTTATTTATTTATTTATTTTTTAGAGAGGGAAAGGGAGGGAGAAAGAGAGAGAGAGAAACATCAATGTGTGGTTGCCTCTCACGTGGCCCCCACTGGGGACCTAGCCTGCAACCCAGGCATGTGCCCTGAATTGGAATAGAACTGGCAACCCTTTAGTTTGCAGCCCATGCTCAATCCACTGAGCTATGCCAGCCAGGGCTTATTGCATTCTTATTGTCCATAGTTTTGATCTTTTTCTTAGATAAGTCCCTTTAACATTTTACATAATAATGGTTTGGTAATAAGCTCCTTTTGTTTTTTTCTTGTCTGGAAAGCTCTTTATCTGCCCTCCAATTCTAAATATCTTTGCTGGGTAAAGCAATCTTGGCTGTAAGTCCCTACTTTTCAACACTTTGAATATTTCTTGCCAATCCTTTCCAGCCTATAAAGTTTCTTTTGAGAAAGCAGCTGATAGTCTCATGGGAATTCCCCTGTAGGCAACTAGCTGCTTTTTGCTCTGCTTTTAAGATTTTCTCTTTATATTTAATCTTCAGCATTTTAATTATGATGTATCTTGGAGTGGGCCTCTTTGCATCCATCTTGCTTGGGACTCTCTGTGCTTCCTGCACTTGCATGTCTATTTCCTTCACCCAATTAGCAGAATTTTCTTTCACTATTTTTTGAAATAAATTTCCAATTTCTTTCTGCTTTTCTTCTTCTGGCACTCCTATGAAGTGAATGTTGGAATCCTTGAAGTTGTCCCAGAAGCTGTTTATACCATCCTCATTTTTTGGATTCTTTTTTCTTCTTGTTCTGATTGGTTATTTTTTGCTTCTTGTTCCAAATCATTGATTTGATTCTCAGCTTCATCAACTCTACTGTTGTTTCTTGTAAATTATTCTTTGTTTTTATTACTATATCCTACATTGGATCTTTTTTATGCTGTTGAGGTCCTCACTAAGTTCCTTCAGCATCCTTATAAAGTGTTTGGTTTTTTGTTTTTTTGTTTCCTCTGAGGGGGTGCACAATTTCCGGAAGTACTTAAATATCAGGTCGATGTGTGCAATGGACAGAGCAAGCTCTTACTACATCTCCTAGTTCCAAAAATCCATTTAATGTAATGTCCTTGGATAGAGTACATATCAGATATTTAACTGTTAAGGACAGATACTACACTTAATCTAAACCAAAAGGCCAAGAAGCAATGTTATAAACTGCATTTTGAACTCTGCTTCTGATAGATTGCCTGTTTGCACTTTGTTTAGTTCTTGTTCTGGACTTTGATTTGTTCTTTCAATTGGGCCATGTTTCTTTGTCTCCTTGTTTTAGCAGCCTCTCTGCATTTGCTTCTATGTATTAGGTAGTGCTGCTATAATTCTCTGTTTTGGTACTGTGGCCTATGTAGTAGATATTCTGTAGGGTCCAGTGGCACAGCCTTCCCTATCACCCCAGCTGGAACTCGAGGTACACCCTTTGTGTGGGCTGAGTACACCTCTTATAATTGAGCCTTGATTGCTGTTGGCAGGTCAATGGGAGGGATTTACCCAGGGCAGTCATCTGCAAAGACTGGCTGAGACCACTGACCACCAGCCTACGCCCTCTGTGGAGGATCAACTTTGCAGGGGCAGGGCGGTAGTACTCTGATGTGGTCTGTAGACGTGTTCTACAGCTGTTCACTGGGTGAGCAGGCACTGGTGTTTCCTGAGTGCAGGCCAAGGTCAACCCCTACCTGTGTTTTTCCCAGTGCCACCCTGCCTGATTTATAAAGCAGTCTGAGATGGCTGCTACTTTTGCTGGGCTTGGAGATTTCCAGGCCAAGCCAAGCTGTGAATCTAGGCTGGTTGCTGCTAGTGCTGGGCCAGGGCCACTTAGCAAGAGGTATGGGGGCTGGGGCTTACTGAGGTTGGGTATTGCTTGTTTGGTAGGATTCAGGAAGTTGTTTAGCATGCACCAAGACCAGCCATTCATACGGGAAAGCAGTTTGGGTGGGCCACTGAGTTGTTTGGAATGGAATCTCAGAGGCTCTCCTGGTATGGACAAAGTCTTAGCCAAGTTGATGGAATCTCATCTGTGGCTCCAGCCTTTCTGTTTTGTGGCTCTGGGGGGAGAGGGTTCAAAAAAGGGACAATGGCCTCTGCCTGCCTGTCTGGGAGAAAGCTGTTACCCAGTTCTCTCCTAGATGTGCCAGACAATTCAGCTCTTCCTTGTATGGCAATGGTGATTTTTTAATTGCTACCCCAGTGCTGGTGCTCAGAGGGAGTAGGTATGAGTAGGTCCACGTGTGAGGTTTTTTAACAGGAACTGCTTGGGACTCGAAGTTTTTTCCACCAACTCAATCCCCACTAGTTTTCACAGCCAGAAGTTATGGGGACTTATCTTCCTGGCACTAAAACCCTTGGCTGGGGGCCTAGTGTGGGGCTTGGACTCCTTGCTCCCGATATGTCCCTCCCAAATTTTTATCCACCACATATGGATTGGGACCAGCCCATTCCACGTCTCTACCCCTCCTACCAGTCTGGATGGATGTGGTTTCTTTAATTCCATAGTTGTCAGACTTCTATTCACCCTCTTTTCTGATAGTTCTGTGTGATGGTTGTTCTATATGTTAGTTGTAATTTTGATGTGGTTGTGCAAGAAGGTGAGCTGTGTTTACCTATGTCTTCATCTTGACTGGAAGTAGAACATACCTATATTTTGAAAAATATAGTTTTGTTACTGAACAGCAAGTGGGGTCCTGCTTTCCACCACCACTCCCTAGGCAAAATTCTGTAGGCAAAGGTTTGGTGATGAAGGAAAGGAGTATTTATTCAAATGCTTCACAATTTTGGAATAACAACTTTCCACATGCATTAGTCACTTAAACCTATCAGTTAAGGTTAAACTCTTTTAACACCTGAGTTCTACCATTCCCCCCATTCATTTTTAATTATCTTATTTCTGCAGGGTTAGTTTACAAACTAAAACAATGTAAGATACAATATCTAAAAAATTTTGGATAATGGCAGGCTTCTGCCTTAGAACTGGTCTTCTCTAGAACATTCAAGGAAGAATAAATCTGCAACCCTCTACCAGGTCAGCCTGATTCTAGGCTGTGCCTAGAGTTACTTCCCATCCAAAAGACTGTCCATTGAAAAATGCAGGCAGCTGCAGTACAATCATCCAGGGATCCTTGAGGAAGAAGAGAGGGAGCCAGTGAGCCTGCCCAAGAGCCCTTCTTTTATTTGAAATGTTGTAGTCCATAATTCTATACACTCTGGAGGCACTCAGCTTCTCAACCAGTCCTATCCTAGACTGTTTATCTTTGCCTCGGGCAACCTCCTCCTATGGCCTCCCTACTCCTCCCCAGTGATCTGATCAGATCTCTCTGTATCAGTTTTAATGCAGCTTTTAAAAAATGATGCTGAATAAAGATTTGTTGTATAATTAAATAATCCTCAAAAATGTGTTTATAAAATAGCTACATAATAGCCTACCTTACCAACATAAATTTTAAAGTTTTACTTTAAAATATGATCTTTTTAATGACTACCAAGAAAATACACGTACATTGTAAAAATTCAAGCAATACAGAAATTTATCATTAAAAGTGAACATTTCATATAAATTGGGTTACCAGATTTAGCAAATAAAAATACAGAACACCCAGTTAGTTTGTGACATACTTATATTTTTAAAAAATTGTTATTTACCTGAAATTCAACTCTATCTACGTATCCTGTATTTTATCTGGTAACTTTGCCATAATTCGATCTCCTTAACAATGAGTATATATTCCCCCAGACACTTTGCTATGCATATATTCCACAATATGCATAAACATACACAGTCACATATGTTTTTGAACAAATACAAAAGAGATCAGGGTATATACACTGTTTGACAGCTTGCTTTTTTTCTAGGTCAGTCTTTTATATCTTTTCATGTTAGTTCATATATACATGTAGCATTAAAAAATTTTTAATTGATTTTGAGACAGAAAGAGAGCGAGAGATATCAGTTTGTTGTTCCACTGTGTTATGCATTCATTGATTGATTCTTTGATGTACCCTGACCAGGGATTGAACCTGCAACCTTAAGTGTACGTGGAAGACACTCTAACTGAGCAGAGCTACCCAGGCAGGGAACCTATGTCATTTTTTAAATGGCTGTGTAATATTGCAGAGCAGCAATTTTCAACCTTTTCCATCTCATGGCACACATGAATTAATTACTAAAATTCTGTGGCACACCAAATAATATATTTTTTACTGATCTGACCAAAAAAATAGGTATAATTTTTATTCATTCACACTGAACAGCTATTGTGTTGGCTGTTGTCATATTTTATTTGACAATCAAAGGGAAAAAAGGTCAGTGTCCTTGACTGAATAGACAGGTAATCCATGTTTTAAAATTTTTTACAGTGCACTAATTGAAAATCGCTGCTCTAGAGTATAAGTGTAGTATGATCTACTCAAAGCCTTACTGATGGCCATTTAGATTGTTTCCAATTTCCCCGCATTTTAAATAATTCTTACTGATTATCCTTCTAAATTCATCTTTGGCCATCTTTTTTGGTTTATCTGTATATTTAAGATACAGGGCATACATTTAAAATTTTGATAGACACTGCCAAGATGCCCTCCAAAGAGGTTTTTTCCTATAATTCTACCACTATTGCATGAAATTGCCACAGTCTTCACACTTGTAGAACATTGACTATGATCAATCTTTGTCAGACAAATAGATAAAAATTGATATTACGCTTGTTTTAATTTTAATTTGTTAATCATTCATGACATCCAAAATATTTTCATACATTTATAGGCCGTTTTTCTTTTGTCAGTTGACCATTCATCTCCATTGCAATTTTTTTCTTTAGATTGTTTTTTCCTTATTGATCCTAATAGATATTTATTTAAATTTTTTCTTTTTATTGATTGTGGAGACAGGGGAAGGGAGACACAAAGAAAGGGAGAGAAACATCAGTGTGAGAAAGAAACATCGATCTGTTGCATCCTTCACATGCTGCTTTTGGGGATCTAACATGCCTGCAATCCAGCCATGTGTCCTAACCAGGAATCTAACCTGCAACATTTCAGTCTGCAGGACAATGCTCAACCAACTGAGCCACACTGACCAGGGCTAGGCTTTTACTTATTAAATGAAGAGGAAGTACTCTGTTCTATTTGTTATAAATATTGTCCTCAAATTAGCTTTCTTCTTTTGACTTTGCTCATAGTGTTTTTCTATTTTATTTATTTATTTTTAGACAGAGAGGAAGGGAGGGAGGAAAAAAAAAGGAAGAGAAACATCATGTGAAAGAGAAACATCAATTAGTTGCCTCCTGCATGTATTCCAGTGACCCAAATGGACACCAAACCTGCAACCCAGGTATGTACCCTGACTGGGAATCAAATGGACGCCTTTTTGCTTTGCAGGTCAATGCCCAACTAACTGAGCCACACCAATCAGGGGTTACATTTCATTTTTTAATTGTTGCGGCAAATAAGTTTAAAATTTTTTATGTAGGCAAATTATCAGTCTGATTTCATGATTGGAGACTGTTTCTTCTGTCTAAGACTACTAAAATATTCATTCAGGTTTCTTTCTAGTTCTTTACTTTTTTAGTCATAGATTCATGTAATATTATATTGGCGAAAATAACAAAGTAAGAATTTTTTCAATCCCTGCCCACTTTTGCAATTTTTATTTTGCAATAGTTTCCCTATTGATGAACATTTGGGCTAATTTCAACTTTTCACTATTATATGTGTTATAATACTTCTATGAAAAGCTCATTTATAAGCCTAAGATTTTTGGGCTACAGTATATGAATATTTCTAAGGTTTTTCATACCAATTTATCTAAATTCACATTTACTCACCTTTAGGAAAAATTATATGAATTTACATTCCCAGAAGCAGTGATGTTTGAAAATACCTGTTCTCCCCAGACTCTTACCAAGAAAAGCTATTATAAATCTTTAAAACTTTGCCAATCTGATTAGGCAAAAGTGATACTTTATTGTTGTTTTAACCCATTTGTTTAACTATGAATGACATAATACCTATTTTAATACATATATTGGCCATTTGTATTTCTTCTTTAGTGAATTGACTGTTTACATTCTTATTACTTTTTTTCCTGCAGGGGTTCCCATTATCTTTTAAAGTGTATTTTATTATTATGCTATTATAGTTGTACCATTTTTTTCTCCCTTTTAA